ATTCCATTGTTTGCAGTTTCAGCGGCACCTTAGTCACTGTAATCATTCTTGTTTGATTCTTTGAAATCATGTCCTATGATGTATATAGGTTAACTTCTTTTCTATAGTGGAAGTAATTGGGTCCTTGATTTAGTATTATTGTACTCTTTTTTCATCTCATTTCCAAGTGGTTTTGGTCACTTTGGATAGACATTTGTAAGGGTTACTTATTGTGTATGGACTCTTATGTTTGGAGAGGTTGATGTGGCACTGACGTCTAATCGGCGCTTTGTAACTTTTTGAATATTTACAGTTGTCTCTCACGGGTAACTTCATATTAGATTAATTTTTTATTTGTTACTTCTTGTTTCACGGTATGGCAGTCTAATTTCAAATTGGTCAAGCGGACATTCAGCAATCTGTATCAGAAGGGGCACGAGCTTCAAAAGGTGTTAAAGGGTGTTTGCGTTTCAGTTATGCATTTGAGCGGTGGTTGGCTATTTGAAACTTGTCGGGGTGCTGCCATTGACCGGGTTTGTTAGTTGTCGGGCAGTCCAGGAGTTATCAACTTCTGGACAGAAAACTAAATTTTTTTTATGCAGATGGCTCTGTATTTGTCTTCACTTATTTTGCAAAGTCTTTAAAGTTTAGTGTTTTTTCCGGCGTTAGTTTTTTACTTGGGTCAGTCGGTGTCATTGCCGGCATTGTCCTTCAGGTGTGTTCTTTTTTTATTTTTTTTTAGGGTGACCTGAGCTTGTTCTGCCTTTTTCTCTTGGTACTTTGCCGGCAATTTTTGCTAAAGTTATGTTGCCTTGGAAGAATGTTTGAATGTTGTAAGCATATGTTTATATGCGATTTTCTGTACAAATGATTTGCTTCTCGGGTTTAAGCACGACTTGCTACTGCAGATCGATAATTAATTGTGATGGTGAGACGGTCTCGTTTCAGGTGTGGATTTCTCTGCTAATAATTTTTAGGCGGAGTGGTTTTTGAAAGGTCTGTGTCAGCAAGTTGCTTGGACTGTTCCTACATGTCTATACGTTGTCAGATTTTTGTAGGTTATTGTTAATAAATTCTATACCGATTATTTTTTTGCGAAGATTTTTGGACGAACGGAAGTCATGTTTCAGTGTTGTGGTTGGCGCGGAGTGGCATATGCTGGGTGGTTGCTATTGTTGTGTGTCAGGATGTTTGTTTTGGTCGTGGGCGTGGACAGGTTTGATGAAGTTGTGAGAGTTTGGGTGGAGATCGCCGGTATGGGTCTCTGCATTTTAGGTTCGAGTTTGTGACGTTCTAATGCGGTTGGGAGCGTTCCAGGGGTAGTCAGGTGTGCAGCTTGGCGTTGGGAAGGAGTACTGTTGGCATTCGCTTGGGTTAGGTGAATGAGGAGGCTTTTATAGTTTGCTCAAAGAGTCTGGGGAAGGGAGACGCGAAGTTTTGAGGGTGCGAGGTGAAGAGTTAAAGAGGCTGGATAAGCTGACTTGGCTTAGGCAGCGACATACCAGACTTGGGTACAGAAATGAGCAACATCGGAAGTTTCATGGTTCTGGATAGCCGCGGGCACTTTGGCTTTGCATATAACAGTTGCATCCGATTATGGGTCACTCCGAATTTTTGCTGTTTTGGCTTTCGGAAGGGTCATTTTATTGCTGGAAGCTTGAATTGGTGCTCCACAGTGGAATTTTTCACATCAGGAACGCTAGAAAAGAGTAAGATTAGATAACAGTAGTTTTGGGATTGCTTTCGTGAGAAGTGTGTGCTATTAGTTTTTTTTGTGGATTTATGGGTCGCCATATTCGGATGTGTGCATGCTCATTGGCAAGCTCTTTTCTAAACTACTTGCGGCGTCTCCTCACTGGATGTTTCTACTGCTTATTTAAACTGGGAGTTATCTACAGAATAGTATTTTTTT